AAAAGCAGACAATTTCTTCTAACAATCACAATTTTTCTGCATATTTAACTATGCAACAAGAGCCTTTACAAATTCATCCAAGCTAGTTGTTAACTTTCCCATGGGAATGAACCATGTATTATAAGTGCTTATCTGTTCAAAACACATTACACAATACATCATTTGATAGATGAAAAACCTTTGCTTTATATTGGTTATAGGTAACACATAATTAAACATACGAGAGAACTATTAACAAATTCTGAAAGAGAGGATGTGTCAGATGGATGAGGCAGGAGGGGTCTGATTTTCTATTTGTTAGCTCTGTAACAAAACAAAATTGAAGGCTATAAAAATTATGGTTTATTTGAGCAATGACAATTTTATAGTGAATAATTTACATTTAATTTCGTACTTTTTGGATGGGTGATGGATAAAATAGAGAAGATAAGATGCCTACAGAAAATGTGTCATGTGTGTCACATTATGGGAAATTCTGGATTTTTTTTAATATTGCCTTGTAGAACTAAGAACTTAAACTTATATACTATTAAAATATGGATTATTAGCTAAGATTTTATTCTATACTAATTGGTATAACATAAACAAAAAGTAGTTTAATAAAGTTTTGAATGTGAGACACTAAAACCTTGTGTCATGCACAGTAAAGGATACATGTGGCAATAGGGTTAATTCAGTCTTGTATGCAATAAAACATATAAAAATCTGGATGACTGGAAAAAATAAATGAATCTAACATTTACACGTGTACATTAACACCAAACAACAAAATAATCACACACTTTTAAATGTGAAGTTAGCAGCCTACTTCTGGAACCACTGGTTGACATAGGTAAAATATTTTAAAAACTAGTTTTTTATTCACGTATTTATATTATCTGTATTATAGCAACACACACTTACTTGTCTAGGAGACTAAGAATTTTAGCTAAAACAAGGCTACGAGGATGGATGCACTCAATATTTCCACGTGGCATTTGTAATATCACTTTTGTATCATATGGCACTGTCACAACAATTCTTGATCCTCTCTCTAAATGCCGAATGTTATCTTTATTGTCATGTACTAAACTACCTTCCATGATTTCTGTTAAAAATAAAAAACATCTCTACAGCATAATTAATACACAAAAAACTTACAATACTTACTTTGCATTTCTTTTTAAGAGGTATGCCTTTTTTTTATTTTAGTGTAATTCTTTCATAAATCTTTAGTATTACTTTAAGTATTTCTTTATTACTATCTTGTTACACAAACTATTCATGAATACTTTCAAAAATTCTTAGATAGTATTGAATAAAAAAGTTATGGCACAGAGGTTTCAAATTTAATTATACTTGCAACAGAGAGGACTTATAATAGCTTGGGAATTGTAACTGAGAAATACTATCAACATACTCTTACAAATGTTTTAACTAAAATTGAAATATACATACGAGGTAGTTCGTGGCTAAGACTCAGACTTCTCAGGGTATGGTCATGTGTGGTTATAAATAAGAAATCTCTATTACAACAAAATGAAGTGCAGCTGCTGGAAAGTTGAACATTGTCACAGTAGAAATAAAACCTCTCAGTTAGACCCAACACTCGGTCCTACACCAGGTAAAATGGAAAATTATTTTCAGTACCAAAGTAATGTAAATACCTATTTGTGTCAGTACAAATTTTTTCTTTTGAGGTGAACTTAGAAAAAATTACTCTGATTATTGGAGTTCCATAATTTTATGATTCATATATTTTTTGATTCTATATCATTTTTTAATATCATGACAAATTTCTTCTTTTGAGATGGACTTAGAAAAAAATTCTGAAAATTCTCTGATTATTGGAGTTCCATAATTTCATAATTCATAAGATTTTTGATTCTATATGTTTTTTTTAATATCATGAATGCTTCTGTCAATAATATAACATAAAAAAAACATTAAAGGACAACAAGGGACCTTATGGTCCATCTATGCCATCCTATCCAGAAAATTAAATTAAATACTAAAAATAATCAAAGCCAGCCCTTATCATTTATATATTTATCAAGCCTTTCCTTAAACTTCCTTAAATTAATTGCATCTACCACATCTGAAAGCAATACATTCCAAAGGCCAACCATCCTGTTAAAAAAAGTAAGGCTGTCTTAGCTGAAGATGATGGCTATCCTACCGAAAGGTATATTTGTGCCCTCTCATCTTACCATTCTCATCAGTAAATACAAAAAAAATAAAAAAATGATGCATCAAAACTATCAGTCATAAACACCTCAATCGGATCTCTTCTGACTCTCTTTTTTCAAGAGAAAAGAAGTTCAGAGATCTTAACCTATCCTCATATTACAACTTTTCCATCCCAGATATCCTTGTAGTAGTCTTCCCCTGAGCCCTTTTCAACAAGTCAATGTCCTTTATAAGGTAAGGAGTCCAAGACTAAACACAGTATTCCAAATGTAGCCTAACTAATGACCAATACAATAACATTACAGCACATTTAGACTTGCATTCAACATTTCTGGAAAAAAAAAAAGGTTCATGCATGTTATTCTGGAATTTATGTTAGTGTGCACTAAAAGACTCTTGTGGGAACCAGGTATTTGTGGGTGCAACCTCAAATGCAGTAATTTGCAAAGAGTATGGCTATGCATGTCTGTATAACTAGTGTTCCGAACATATGAATTTTCATGCATTCATGCAGTTCATTATTATTTACAAACCTATTGTAAATATTGATAATTATATACTATCGTATACTTTTTCGTGAGGTTAAAAATGGTATTTTTCAGATTTACAATATCCATACATGTTTCATGATGCTAGGAAAACATGTGATTTCAAAAATCAATTTAACACAAATATACAAAACCCAATAACCCTTAGTTTGCTCCTGGTGAAGAAAGGCACCTTTGGAAAGCACTTGGGTTTTGAAATTTTTTGTATACTAAATATTTTATATTGTAAGATATAATGCAAAAGATACTTGAAAATTGGTGCATTAGCATCAAGACCTTCAATATTATGAGGCTATTTTTACATGATATGGATAATTTTAAAACAATGCAAAAGCCATTTGGAAATTGTTGATTAATGAGTATCAACAGCTCCAATGTTATGGATCTATTTATAAATGGTGTAGAGAATTTGAAAACATTCTTATGATATTTGTGCAAGGGCAAACAAATTGATAAGTTTATTAAAAGCACACAGTGGCACTAACCACTTTAATACTTTGATATTGCTTTCTATCAACACTTGATAAACTTTGTTCAACTTGATGGGCTTCACTTATTTAGTGTCTTAAAGCCAGCTGCAGAAAAAGAGGCATTTCCTGGCTGCTGTTCCAGAGAGATCCATAATGTTATCCAATTTCTTAAGTCTGTGGCACAATCAACTGAACAAATGGAAGCAACTGTGATTACATGACTAATAACAAGCAAGAGATTTACATCATACAACAAAGAAAAAATAGTACACAACTAAAGCTGAGCAGAAACAGATGATGTATAACTTTGAAGAATGATAGAAAAGTTACTGTGCCAGTAAAAATATTCAATTAGATAATGACAAGGTAAAGATCTGAGTAAAGAGAAACCCGTTTCTGCATGTGACTTCAATATTTAATTAAATAATAACAAGGTAAAGATCTGAGTAAAGATAAATTTCTTTCTGCATGTGACTTCAATATTAAATTAGATAATGATAAGGTACAGATCTGAATAAAGATAAGTTTGTTTCTGCATGTGACTTTACTGTGAGCATTAGAAAAGATCATAATGACCAGCAGAATGCTCTTACATAGTTGGTTACAAAATGATGTGGAATGCTATCACTTCTTTGGAGTCAAGAAATCTTTCATCATTAACACAGTAGGAAGGCCTGAGCCCTCTGTATTTTAGCATTGTGGTCAACATTCTTCTAATTAGCTCTCAATCACAATGTATGCCAAAGGAAACTTGTCTATTTGAAGAACTGTACACTCTAAAGTCCAAGATAAGAAACTGAATGAAGTTACTCATTGTTGATGAAAAGACCCCAAAGGAAACCTTGGCTTTATAACCATCTGATGAAGTTGAAAAATTTTGAAACAAATAAAAAAGGGTGATAGAGATGAAGAAAAGTTGGCAATAATAGAAGATAGTGAAAAACCAATAACAGTGGAAGATAATGTTTGTTATAAAAAGGCAAATCTTTAAGGATCCTATCAGATTGACTTACGATGTTTAATTTATTGTGTCCATTTTTTGTAAATAATCTATAACAACTTTTTTGAAAGTATTCAGATAGAAGAACACCTTTTATGATATTACAACATGTGGTCTAAACAATTATTAATGAAACTAAGTTTGAAAATAGCTAGTCAACAGCTAAATACAATTGGATAGAGCAGATTATATTCTATGTCAATGAAGAGTAAATAAAGTGTCTGAGCAGTTATATGTGGTTTCTCAAGATATTGGCTAGAAGGATCTTCTGTAGGGTAAAAAAAAAAGTATGATATAGAACGCAGTGTCATAAAATATAATATGCCTAATACTAATATCATATGAAAAAGTATAATTAATTATAATCACACTTTGCCAGCTTGGAAAAGGCATTCACACCAAAACACATATTGTTGTAACCCAGCTGGCCTGATAAGCTATGGATTAAGCAAAACACATCACTGGCAATGAATATGGCAAACATAGTGTGGTTGAAATAATATTATCTATAAACTTTTTCATTTTTTTAAATTCCCCCAGCAATTAAATAAAGAATGCAGTGTTGAAAAATATTATAGGTCCAATACTAAGATCTTATTTCACCTACAGTCTTTCTTTAGATTTAAGAATTGACTTTCTGCTCTAAAGTCATCATTTGTTATTTATAAATTTATTTGTTCTTGCTGTTAGCAATGCTACATCTGTTCTACTAAAAGAAAATTGATAACACCAGTAAAAGAACATGTTAATCTAAGACCCATTACTAAGTCTAATGTTCTTGAACACACCCTATGTGAAAGTGATGTTGTTGTTCAATCTAACTGGTTTAAGATCTTAGCAAGAGTCAATGATGAGCAGATCCTCCAAATAACAGAGAGCTTGCTCATTCACAAACTAAGGTCTGAGATTAATGATGAAGAAGATGCAAGTAAATTACTCTTATTTCAATAAAAGCTTAATACACAAATTATGTTTTAACAAATAGTTTTATTTGTGCAACCCCTAAGTTATTATAAACCTTTATGGATTTGTGTGATGCCACTTATATCTCTTAATTTTTAATTTTCACAGTGTAAATACTCAGATGAATAGCATGAAACTTACTATAAGTTTACTAAATAAAATCTAACTTTAGGTTAAAAATATTTACAAAATCTGATTTAGTTCTTCTATCATTTTTTACATAGCAAAATTTCCAAAACTTTGTTATGAGACACTGTTTTTGAAAAAATTAACATACATTTAAAATACTTCCTTTAGTCTTACTTTACAAATTGCCATGGTATAATACTACATTTTCTGCTACTTTATTAAATACTACAGTACAATACTAAGTTTTCTCCTACTTTAAAAATTGACATAGTATGAAAATAACATTACTACTACACAATAAACAGCTGTGGTATAATTTCTGCTACTTTACAAACTCCCATGGTATAAAACTAACTTTTCTGCTGTTTACAAACTACTATAGTATAATACTACCTTTCCAGCTATTTTTACACGCTTCCATGGTATAAAACTACCTTTTTTACTACGTTATAAACAGCCATGGTATAACACTACCTTTTCTGCTACTTAACAAGTTGCTATAGTATAATACTACCTTTCCTGCTACTTTACAAACTGCCATGGTACTACAGGGTTGTGGAAACTGCAAATCACCTTGGTCTGTAGCCCAAGGAGTGATGACCTCAGTATCTAAAATAACAGCAGCATACAAGAAAAATAATAAATGCTTTCATTGATTATTTAAACATATACTGATCGAGAGATAAGTAATTGTGATAAGGAGGTAAACAGAAAATCTAGCAAAGTTTTTATGAATAAAAGTTGGGAGGTGCAGTAAGTGGTAAAAAGGAAAAACAAATAGGTGATTTAGTGGATATATAAAGGATTGGTTGTTTAGTAGATGATAAATGAATATATAAATTGGTTTGTAAATAACATCAATAAGAGTTGAGCACTGAATGAATGGTAGAAAAACATGAATCAGCTTGTAAGTGCAATTTCAATGAGTGAGCAAACAAGTTAAGTATAGGTTATACCTATAAACATGACTAAGATTTTTTTTCTTTACATGCACAAGTAAAAACAGAGTATTAAAATTCAATATCTTTAAAATTTCACTCAGATATTTACATTGCAACAAATAATTGTCTAATATGAAAAAAAGTTGGCAAATACTACTTATTGTGCTTTTATTAGTTTTTTTGAAGTTCAAATGAATAGAATGTTTAGGTTTATCATTATGATATGTAGACATAATAAAGTAAACCATTCTATAGCTTAGTATATAAATATATCTCTCTATTTATGCATTTTTGTTCCAAAAATTTACTAAACAGTTCTGTTCTTGACTGTAAGTTCTGGATGAACAGTATGTGCCCAATCTTGAACTTGTTTGTCTTGCCTTTTTGGTTTTCTTCCAAAGTTAGAATGTTAAAGTCCAGGACTTGTCTATTATTATGCCTTGACTGCTTCCTGAATAATTCACTAAGCAGATTCTCAATGGTTTGTACAGAATGTTAGTCATGTGTTAAGATAGACATGCTAGAAATGCTGGTTTTCCTTCTTAATAAGGCTAGCCTGGTAATGTGGCATTATGGAAAGTTCTGATAGAACTTAGAACTGAATAAAATCTTAAACAAAGTTAGATATCTTTCTCAAAATTTCTTTGGTGTTTTAACAGCTTTTTCTTGCCTTTATCCAGCAAAGTTGTTGTCCCCTAGTCTCAGTTATCTACAAGAAAAGCTGATCTAAAGTGAAGTGGATTGTTGTTTTTGTTACTAAGAGAAAAGTGTTCAGTCTCATTCATTCTTGGGAAAGCATGACCTATATTTCATACTCAATACATAAATCTCATCAAACTGCTGTTATTGTGGTCTGTTAACTTACGTGTCAATTTAAAGAGCAGTTTTGAATAACATAGCATTTAGTTTTAAATTTTAATGTTTTCTTTCAAGTCAGATGTTATTTTTTTTACTGTAAATCATAGTAGCTTAACAAAAAGATATACCAATTATGATGTACATGAAGTAACAATGTACTTACCAAGGATATATTTTAACACAAGACCGTCAGTAAGTTGTAAAGCCACAATATCACCATCATTGTTTGTACACATGTTTAACAAAGAAGCCTTCAACATTGATATCAATCTTGAGGATAAGAAAATATTAGTTTGTTAATAGTAAATATATTTCTATATCATGAAGAAAAACTGATCTGTGTGAAATATTTTAAGCTCATTAGCTTGGACATTAGATAATGTTAATGTTTAATAATTACTATACAAACTTTTATAGCATTTTTCCCTTCTCATTATCTTCAACACTTTAGTTCTGTTTGAAATAAGTAGTATGTAAATTGCCTACATGAAACATGAGGTCAAACAAAATTAAACTTTTGATGACCTGAAATTTTACTGCATGTCTGAAAACTTCCATTTGCAGCACATAAAAACATACATGGGAATATTATATACTGAAACTCTCCAAAAAATGGTGTGTGTTGAAAAGTTAGTAATCTGTAAATGAGTAGTTTTAAAAACATGAAATTAATGATAATTTGTGTTACAATGCTACACAAACTTTCTATAACTAAGCATAAAGTTAGGTAAATTCTAAGCTTATACCTTCCCAGTACTTTTTCTGAGTCTGTATTGTGATTCTTCAAATTGACAGACAACAAGGCAGTTCTACCCTGAACAGGAGAAGCACATACTACAGTATCACCAGCAACACAGGTCCAGTGATGTATACACATTGGAATCAATGGAACATTGATATTATCACTCCACTGAACCCTGAAGAATAAAGATACAAACTCACAATTGCAGCAAAAAACAAAACTACAACAAAGCCAAAACTTCACTTTCTGGGACAAGTTTGATCTTAAAATAATTGGAAAAAATAGGATAGCTTTCAATCACCATAAAAAACTTCAAAGGTAAGAACATAAATATTTATCTGTATCACATAATAACTAATTACATATTTTCACCCTTCCAAAAAGAAAAAGAAAAAATATATTATCCTTTACAAGATCACACCTGAATAAGCTGGTCACACAGTGTACAAGACCCTGCTTCTTAAAGCCATTTTGTCCTGCATTTTTTACAATTACACAACAGTCTTCCTGAGTAGTAGAGCTGTCCTCTGAAACATAAACACATGTCAATTTTTGGAAAGATTTTTAAATCATTATGGACCAGCCTTTTTGTCATTTATTAATTCAATGCATCAACACAGGTATTTGTTTTCTTTTCTTGCTTTTAGATAAAAAACAAATTTTTTGTTTCCAGTTGTTCTGAGCTTTGTAAGATGTGTTTTCTTGGTAGAAAAAAACAAATCAGGCCAAAGAACAAAAATATAATTGATAATATTAAGAAATTTAAACCTATATCAGTTTTATTAAAACCTTTTAGACACACACCACAGAAAATGAAGTTTAAAAAGTTAAAGCAATTTTATTAAAACCAAATGGTTAAAGCCTATCAAACACTTTTTCAGTTGTCTTCTACAGTGGCCAATAGTGTGTCACTAAAAGGTTTTAATGTTATTCAACCAGAATTTTAATTGTCCTTTATATTATGTCAGTTTTCACATGAAATAAAACACACAAGATATTAATATACTTCCACTAGAACTTTATCTGTCAGACCTTAACCTTTTGCTAACAGATTCAATCTAGTTGACTGACCCCATGTCTGTGAAGCTATAATATAACTATGTTTATTATAATTCTGAATTTAATCCGTGTACCTTCACAAAAGTTGGCATGTCTATTGTATGCAAAAAGAGTAAAAATACTTTATTATAAATCTTGCTTTTTGCATACAATAGACATGCCAACTTTTGTGAAGGTACACAGATTAAATTCAGAATTATAATAAACATAATTATATTATAGCTTCACAGACATAGTAAAAATACTTTATTATAAATCTGGAAAAGATTTGTATGTGAATGTCCTAAGCCTTTACTGAGTGAAAGGTATTTTTATGCTAAAAATAATATACTTCTTTCCATACTAAAATTTTAATATTTAATTTTGATAGCCTCTACAACCTCCTAAATGAGAAACAAAGGTGTTTCTTTGGCAAAAATTTATATTCTATCTCTTATTTTCTTATTTATGTATCACCTGCCTAGTAGAAAAGCTAGATTAAAGATGGATATGTATGTATAAACCTTAATGATCTGCTACTAATGTACTCTTAACAATGCTACATAAGTAATAGTTTCCTGAAGTTATATTTTATTTCAGAACATTTACTGAAATGATGTGACTATTTATGAAAAAATAAATAATGCAAACAGTGTTCATTATCAGATATTAATAAAATGAGAAGGACATTCCACTCAAATACCATAAGACTCATCTATTTTTGGTTCTTAATAGCAAAATACAATAAAATGAATACTAACTCTTATTACACAGAGCTATTCTTCCATCTGATAAAACTACAAGCATGTCGTAGTTGCTTGCAATTTTGGGGGGAAAAACAACCTGGGATATAGTATCTGGAAATTCTAACTCATATGCACACATTGGTGGGGGAATGACTGTTTGACGAAATGGTGTCACCTTTAGATGAGCTGAAAAGAATTAAATGTTTTTAAAACATACATATATGAAGGTCAAATATAATGTTCAACTTACTGATACATTAAGATCCTGTAGGAGTTACAATATTCACACATAGGGATACTTATTTTTACTTGCTTGAAAATATGAATTTGAAGTTCCTAGCATAAGTTACATTTTAATAAGTTTCTAATAAATAATATCCTGCTGCTTATGATATCTTCACACTGCCCAAATTTATAAGTCATGTTTACCTATCAACATCAGTTGCATTCTTGCACTTCCTTAACTGGTAATTCTAAGCAAGAGAATTTAGTTATAAAAACTTTCTCAGTCAATCCTAACATTAAATTATTAACAGGTCCTAAAGGGTTTAATTGTCAGGCATCTAAATGTTATCCACCTAAGTCAATACTAACATTTTACAATCACATGCTTCCCACACTTTGGGTAGAATGAAACACCTCGACTTTTCTTGAACAAAATATGTTATTCCCTGACCATTTGATCTATGCTTGTTATATATATAATTCAATTTTTATCTATAATAAAATGTAAAATTGCAAAATGTTATTCATGTATTGTTTAATGCAGACAAGGCAAGCTGCATTTAACATAAAAATAAATAATTTGCAAAAAGTAACAAGACTGGTATTACATAATAATAATTATCATGATTCAATAAACAGAAATCTATCAAGTATACTACTTATATGCTGCTTCAATAGCCTAAAATTAATCAGATTAGAAATTATTTGATGCATTAACTTAAAGATTATTAGGATGCAGCCAGTTATTCAATGGTGCAAGTTCAACTTTTTCTACAAATAGTTCTGTATTCTCAGAAACCTTTCCATGTGTCATACCATTACTTAGCGTGAATGAAAGATTATTTTAATATTTTAATAATTTGATTTTTTCCAGATGTGGGTTTTTCTCCAGGCACTCTGGTTTTACCCCCACAGGTAAAATGTGGCATAGGATCACAACTCACATTGCCCTGAAATTGTACCATTCATTAAATTTTAATTTAAACACAAGTTTCCCATCCCACCATAACCTCACTTTGATCCACTAAATCTCTCTTCCACCTCTCACCCACAGGCATACTTGGTCACAGTTTGAACCCCGGACTCATCATTCATGGATCCAGCCTTGCTCCAATTCTCTTCCCTTCACTATTAGCAGCCTCAATGATGTCACCAAGTTCCTCCAAAACAATGATCTACTCACCACACCTACTGACCACGTGTCATAACACTGCCACATGCTACACGCTCTCTCTCCCACCCTTCTTTTCTCCAACTCAGTGAACTCAACCACATAGTGACCGCCACGAGACAAACAAACACCCAATCAGCTCAGATGTATTAAGCCTATATGGCCACCTGTTCTAATGAATCAAAATTTTCACTTTTCTTTAAACATGTGGGGTGAAGAAAACAACAGTTTCTGAATGCTCCAGGTTAGCTTTCAGACTTTTGTTTGTTAAAATTTGAAAGTCTTTGAACCTAAATTCCCTTATCAAGTAAAAGTTACTAATACATTGCCATCCATATTTTGCTTTATAGGATTTTCCTTAAATGTAATTGGTAATATTCTACCCATCTACTGCCTGTCAATGACCATGTCCAAATTTTACTACACATCAAAATGTTACGTGTTATAATCAAATTTTGGCAATGCATGTTTTATTTTATAATGAATTAAACAAAATTACTGATAAATTATTCATATAATTACTATAGTTATTTTTGATAATTGAGTGAATAAATATAACTATGATATAAATTAAAAATAAAGAATCACTAAAACTGTATAGATTTGTTCTATCTTTGAACAAAAAGGCTTCACCAAAATAATTCAAGTGTTCATTTTCATTTTGATATCTTTCAAACCTTTTCTGCACAAATATGTCAATGACATAATATAACCTGGAACTATGTGTTCCTTTAATGACTACTGATCTGGGGACTGTTTTATTAATGCACTAAAATCTGTAGGATTAAAATAACTTATTTGATGGAAACAGCCTATCTGTAAGTAGTATTTTGTTAAGGGCATTTAGGTTCTAGTAAAACAATCCTCCATGACATAATTTTAGGAGGATGAGACAAACCCTTGTACATAGTCCTTATACTGCATTTAGGTGGGAGCTTAGCTGCTGTTTACTTAATATGTTAAGGTTACCTTATACTTCATAACAATTAACAGTAAACAAAAAGATTGATGTATATAAAACAATTTTAAAGCATACTGACCATGCTAAGTGTAACAGAATTAACCTGTATGTCATTTTTTTTGGTGCTAATGATAATTTATTCATCCATCATTAGTGTCCTAAAAGCCCCACTGGATCACATCAAATTAAGGACTTTTCCTGGTTTTTGTTTGATAAAATTACATTCCCTGATGTTTCCCATGCCATGAACACAAAATCAAAAATTGACTGACTTCTGGTTTCCCTTACCTGTAGGAACCATGTAATCAGTAGCTTCTAGTTAATTTAAGTCTGATTTTAGTATTTTTCCATCAGAATTTTTTAAAAAAGATTTAATTGTAATATATAAACAATTTGGAACATTCTAGTCAATTTTAACATTTTACAACCAGAAGGTTTTAAGGACTCATTTAGCAACAAATTCAAAGTTCAGAAACTTTCTGGTAAATCCTAATATTTTAACACCAAAAAATGTTAATTATTTTAAAAATAAAATTTCAAAGATTTATGCATTTAATAAACCCTAGCATTTTAACAGCAGAAACTTTAAAATATTTTTTAACAAGAGATTCCTTGTTCTAAAATACTGTAGTCATTCTTAAGATTTTCCATATTTGCACATTTTAGTGAATTTGTATTGATAATTTTACTTTCAAAACATCCTACCAGTCCTGAAATTTCACCATCAACAACTTTAAATGGATCTTATTATAACATTTTTTAAGTGTAGTTTAAAGTTGAAAGCATTATTTCAATATTTTCAAAATGTCAATAAGGCTAAATATTTAGTAATCCAAGTAAAATTCTGATCTGTTGAAATATAAATATTCCTAATATTTACCCCCATCAATAACAGCAACACACGCATTATCATCGGATGAGTAGCTCTTGCTGTGGTTAACCATCCAGGTCCATTTGTAGCAAAGGTAATGTCCGCCAGAACAAGTCACATGAAGCATGTATGGGTCTATTACATCCCATAAGACCGCTGTCACATGATATTTGTTAAAGCTGAGGCTTTGTTTTAAATACCAATGATAGTTGCTGGTTGTCCACAGTAATACTAAAAGAAAAAAGAAAAAATTAAATATCTATCTTCCACCGATAATGACTAATTCCGAGATAGTTTTGTTATGAAGTTGGTATTAAATGTTTCCTTTTCAATTTTGTATATATTATTAATCCATATTAACCTGCTGCTTTATCTTTTTTTTTTTACTTACTTAAAATATAGTTAACACAAAATGAATAACAGCAGAGGTTATCTTACTTCTGTGTTCATTGTAACCATTTTTCTCTTGTATTAGCTGACCCCAAATGGTTAATATTGTAGACTCTGAATTCCATAAGACTTCTTTAATCTGGGAAACATAAAATTAAAAATTATAAATTCATAGATTTTTATGGTTTCATTACAAGTACAATAATTGTGATGTTTATTCTATGTGTACATTTAAATAGACTGATGTATAAATATATTACTCATTGGCACATAAACACTTACTATACTCATTTTAAAAATTACCACTCCTGAAAATAAACTTTAATTATATTAAAAATGTGTTTCATTCCTGGATATACACTACTATTATTAAATATACATACATCTTTGATAAGTGACTAGAAAATAAGCATACAACTAAATTGTAAATGCACAAACCAAAGAAAACTATCTCTACTTTAAATTGCTTTTATATAGCGTTAACAAAACACTCTGGTAGATTCACAATATGCAGAAATGTATTCACAAGGAATGATTACAGTTATGGTATATTTTTTAATCTGAAAAAAATATTAATATACCTTGACATTTCAAGGAACATCTTAATTGCTTAAGAAAGAAAACTTTATTGATAAGCTTACATAACTGTCTATTCATTCATAATACTTATAAATCTATATAAGGCAATGCAACATATAGTGAAAATTATACGAGTATCTCATTCCAGTTCTTCAAAATGTTTTCTTGTACAGTCAATATATATATATATATTACATTATTTTAAAAATTATCAGTTTATCATTATATTGACCAGAAACTTGTCAGTGTTATCTAGCATTTTATTAAGGATGGAGATTTTGGCTCATTTGAATTTGTTTTAATTATGTGAATATTTTGACTATATTTTTTTATTCAAAATTACTGATATAAAACTGTCATATAAAAATCTTAACATTTTCCTTAGCTGAAAATATATTTCCAATAGATACCTCTTCACACAGTTTAGCTATCTTCTTGTGCATCTGCCAGGGAGATTCGCATGCTACAAGGCTTGAGGCAACTCCCACATGATATTATGTGAAATTATTTTATGCATGATGAAATAGAAGGGCAATACACCCCCATGCATAACTCCCCTATGCATTTGTGCTCATGAAACTTCATTCTTTGACGAGGCAAGGAAGTTAAAAAAAAAAAGAAGGTGCATGGGAAGTGGGAAGGATGGGTGGGAGCATATCCAGAGGTATCAATCAAAAATACATTTTCAGGTAAAGAAAATATTAATTTCCAAGATGATACCCAACCCCTACACACAGTTTAGTTAGAATCCCACAATGAAGTAGTGAAAGGACTGGTGTAAATTTACCTAGATGAGCATCCTTCAGAAAGTGCCCAAAAGAAGCCCATGGGATATGACATCCACTGACAAGGGTTTCATAGAGGCACACCTACGGAAGACTACATCTCTTCTCATCCATGGTATACAAATCTTTGGCAAACACATGAGGAAGATAGCTAAACTGCGTGTGAGAGTGTAGTATCATCTCAGAAATAAAGTTTAAGTAATTAAGTGAGTAAGACCAGAGATTAGAATAACTTGGCCATAAATCATGATCAGCAGTGTTATAAATACAATGCTTGCTTAATTAACTCTTTCAGCATGGGCTCGGTCCCTAGAACCAACCTTGTAACCATTTTGTATTTATTATGGTTTTCATGCTATAACTTTTAAATTAGTAAGCATATGTGTTTGGGATATTAACATTACAATGCTTTTATAATCAAAATATAAATTTTTTTATTAAGTGTTAAGGTTTGTAAAGCAATGTTTTCTAAGGTTTTTTTTTTCTTTTCACATGTTGCCTATCTATCATGTAAAGTAATTTTCATTTTAAGGCTAAAAAATTAATCTTTGTATGGGATTGGTAGATTTCACCAATCTCATAACCACCATAAAAAATTAGGAAATAAATATAAATTATGCCTCTTTCATTCTAGAACGAACGCAAATTATAGCACAAAAGCATAAATGTTTAGACCAAATAGCTTAAATCTCATAACATTATACATCTATATATTTTTATTATATTGACCTTTCAGCTATACCTGTCTAACCATACAGAAGTTACAATGACAAAAACACATGTGCACTCATTTTACTGTGTTCAACAACATAAAACTGCCCTTTGGTCTTTACAAAGTAACCTGTCTTGGCTGTGTTTTAGTAGACTTATACTTTCTAAACTACAGTCACATTTCAATTATTAT